CAGTTTTTGTTGCAAAGAAAATTAGAGTGAAAGCCAACCATTTACTAATAGTTACTCAAAATCACAGACTGCTATATAAATAAAATCTGATTTAGTCCTGTGTAACCTTGGGCGAGTTTCCTGGCCTCTTTGAGTCTTGTTTTTTTTTTTAAGCTCTGGAATTTTGTTGTGTATATATACTACATATAAAATAGGGATAATATTGGCGCCCATTTTATAGACTTGTTGTAAGGACCAGTCAGTCTGTGTAAAATGCTTGTAACAGTCTGCCCCATTTCCTATTCCAGGGGATCTTCCCAACCCAGGGATCAAACCTGGGTCTCCCACATTGCAGGCAGATTCTTTACTATCTACCAGGGAATCCCACACATAACAATAACTGAATAATTGTTAGCTATTCTTATTGTGGTGATATTATCAACATTATTGTTGTGATTAACCTAAAAAAATTCTTCATAACTCTGTGATGTCCTCACTTTCACCATAAAGTCCCTTGTAACCTTTCACAAACCTTATATATGAGTGATTAAACCATTTGCTAGCAAGTTTACTTTTGCTTATCTTTGTGTTGGCTTTGGCAAGGTCAGGGACCTAATGTTAGAAGACCATCTGTGTGGAAGGAGTATAGCTTTTATAAATAACTGCTGGCATTCCCTTGGATTTTGCAAAATATGACCAGAATACCCACAATTTGCCACAATCAGCTAAAGTATAATTTGCAGTCAACAAAAGACTTTTTCTTATAAGCTTCCTATTCCACTTCCTCTTCTTCCTCAGGGGTGACCTCATTGCATAGCAGTAGTAGACAGTATAATCTGTTGTTTAGTGAATTTTCTGACTCATAAAATGTATTATTTTATCATAGTACAAATTCTGCTGGGTTGTTTTCTTTGAAGATTTCTGTTAGAAATCTTAGCATTAGAAGATAGAAAAGAACATGGTGGGTCAAAGAGATATCACCACTATAAGAATAAAATGAAGGGCTAGAAAAGAATGGACTGCTAATACTAATAACAGCTTGGATGTATCTCAGATGCTTTTTTGATAAGCAAAAGAAGCAAGACGCAAAAGACACATACATACTTTGTGATTCCATTTACATGTCTTTCTGGAACAAACCAGATCAGCTTTACTAGGAGTTAGTGGTAGAAGAGAGGAATGTGATTGACTACAGATACCTAAGAAGAGTTTTGATAGAAATGTTACCTATCTTGATTGTGGTGGTAGTAACATGATTGTAAGCCTTTGTCAAAACTCCTAGAACTATTCACTTATTTGTAATTTTATCCCAGTAAATCTGGCTTAAAACCTGAAACAAATAGCTGTAGTGTTCATGCAGGTCAGTATTTCCTGTATGTGAAACAAGATATAACTTATTCTGAATCAGTAGATTTCTTATGTATTTACTTATTATACTTATAGCTTTGTAAGTAACATTTTTAGTTCATTAGGTATTTTATTTTCTTCTCTATAAATAATGATCATCTAAAAGTTCCTTGAAAGTTTGTTTCATGGAATACACTGCATATGTTTTTTAGTATTTTAAGTTTTTTACATTGATCAGGATGCTACCAGTAACAGCAGTACTACTCATCAGTCAGTCAGTTCAGTCACTCAGTGGTGTCCAACTCTTTGTGACCTCATGGACTGCAGCATGCCAGGCTTCCCTGTCCATCACCAACTCCCAGAGCTTGCTCAAATTCATGTCCATTGAGTCAGTGATGCCATCTAACCATCTCATCCTCTGTCATCCCCTTCTCCTCATGCCTTCAATCTTTCCCAGCATCAGGGTCTTTTCCAGTGAGTCATTTCTTCTCATCAGGTGGCCAAAGTATTGGAGCTTCAGCTTCAGCATCAGTCCTTCCAATGAATATTCAGGACTGATTTCCTTTAGGGTGGACTGGGTGGATCTCCTTGCTGTCCAAGGGACTCTCAAGAGTCTTCTCCAACACCACAGTTCAAAAGCATCAATTCTTCGGCTTTCTTTATGGTGCAGCTGTCATATCCTACATGACTACTGGAAAAACCATAGCTTTGACTAGATGGACCTTTGTTGGCTAAGTAATGTCTGATTTTTAATTTGTCATAGCTTTTCTTCCAAGGAGCAAGTGTCTTTTAATTTAATGGTTGCAGTCACCATTTTCAATGATTTTGGAGTCCAAGAAAATAAAGTCTGTCACTGTTTCCATTGTTTCCCCATCTGTTTGCCATGAATTGATGGGACCGGATGCCATGATCTTAGTTCTTTTAATGTTGAATTCTACACTTGATCTTAGCCAAAAGGCCAAGAAGCAATGAATGTTGAGTTCTAAGCCAGCTTTTTCACTCTCCTGTTTCACTTTTATCAAGAGACTCTTTAGTTCCTCTTCTCTTTCTGCCATAAGGGTGGTATCATCTGCATATCTGAAGTTATTGATATTTCCCTGGAAATTGTGATTCCAGCTTGTGCTTCATCCACCCTGGCATTTCTCATGATGTACTCTGCATATAATTTAAATAAGCAAGGTGACAGTATACAGATTTGACATACTCCTTTCCCAGTTTGAAACCAGTCCATTGTTCCATGTCAGTTCTAACTGTTGCTTTTCTTGACCTGCATACAGATTTCTCAGGAGGCAGGTCAGGTGGTCTGATATTCCCATCTTTTTAAGAATTTTCCACAGTTTGTTGTGATCCACACAGTCAAAGGTTTTGGCATAGTCAATAAGGCAGAAGTAGATGTTTTTCTCAAACTCCTATTATTTATAAGGAAGTTTATTGGCTTCATTTCTGTGGTTATGAGATGACTGCTTTTTAGCACTTAGGCCTGCACATGCCCTCATCTACATAGAGCAGCAAACACATCTCTTTTTGTTTCTTCGTTAAGGGTAAGGAGCCTTCTTTTCCAAAGCTGCCATTGCATATTGTCTCATGTCACGTTGGCTCCTGAACCAATTGCTGTATACCGTTGATAGTGACACCATTCAGGGCTCCGTTTTCATCTGTGGATAAGGTCAGTTTCCGCAAAGGAGAGATTACAGTACTGGGATAGACGCACCAACCAAATCTGGATACCATTAAGAGATAAGGGGAAGGGAGGGATGCCAGGCAGGCAAGCAACAATGCTAGTACTTTACTCTGAATTTATTAAGTTAAACCAAAATCTTGACTAATTGTGGAATTTGATTGCTATGTAGTTCCTATTTCAGTGTTTCTGAGACCACAAATTATTTAAACAGCATTATGTTACTTTATCCTAAAGACTCACATAAAAATATCTCAATTCAGTGGTAATGTAAGAAGCAACATGGTAACTTTTCACATTAGAATATACATTGCATATAAAGCATAAAGTAGATGTCATATATGTTTAATACCATGAAATATTTACACAACTTCATAGCATTTTATACAGAGTTCAAAATATAGCCTTTACACACATTAGACACTGGCTTAAAGTATACTTTGGTCTGCTTTGGTATTAAAGTTTTTACTAAACTCATTATATTCATACTCTCCTAGAATGAAAAGAGTATTTCAGAAAAGTAACTAGGTAGAAACAACTCTGAATGGTACACAGAGCCTAGATTTTATCCTGTTAGTGAGAAAAGGACTGTTGGAGACTTTTTATCCCTTTCCTATTAGAATTAGAATTAGGGGAGCAGAGCAGAGTTTTAGAAGGATTCCTTATACAGTAATATTCAAGGTGGGTTAAGTGAAAGTGAAGTCACTCAGTCGTGTCCGACTCTTTGCGACCCCATTGACTGTAGCCTACCAGGCTTCTCCATCCATGGGATTCTCCAGGCAAGAATACTGGAGTGGGTTGCCATTTCCTTCTCCAGGGGATCTTCCCGACCCAGGGATTGAACCCAGATCTCCTGCTTTGCAGACAGATGCTTTAACCTCTGAGCCACCAGGGAAGCCCTCATGGTGGGTTAGAGCCACCAAAATAATGGAATCAAATAATTGGACAACTGTTGATTGGCCTGGGCTTGAGATAAGGTATGAGCAAACAGGGTACTAGTGATGAGAACTTAAAAGATGATGCTAAAGACAGAATATTATGAGTAGGAGTTGGTGGCTGACTGGATTTTGTGATAGGGAACTAAGCTTAAAGTAATTTAAGTCAGCTGACTAGAAAGGGATAGAACCACTGCTGGGTTGGTAAGGTCCAAGGATGGTGGTAGGATGGAGATTTTACAGAAAAGGTAATGAGGTCTTAGATTTACAACATGTCAAAGCAATAATAAATGTCCAGCAATATTTAGGCATCTGCGACTGCTGTTCATCATTCGTTCAGTGATATTTTATTGAATGCCAGTGTTTTTATTGAAACACTGTAGTAGACACAAGAGATGGATCAGTTAACAAGGGGAAAATGTTCCTATCCTCATGGCACTAGTAAGGCTATACAAAGATATTTAGGAGTTAAATAGATGTAAACTGAGGAAATAATAAAGTCTGGATTTAATTAAAAATAACATAGGTAGAGGGGAGACGGGTAGCAGCATAGGTGAAAGACCGTTAACAATGAGCTGATGTTGGATCTTGGTGGTGGACACATGGGAATTTGCTTTACTGTTTTTTCTAGTTCTATATAAGATTGAAATTTTCTATAATTAAAAAATTTTAAGCTAAAAAGTTCTGTGCATAGAGCTAATAAAGTGATTCAACCATGTGCAAAGAGTAGCCTGAAAGAGGTAGGGGGGAAATGAGGAAAGTGTAGTACCTGGGAAATAAAAAAAATAAAAGATGTTTCAGGGCAAAGATGGATGATACTGTTAATTGATACAGAGATCAGAGAAGTTATAACCTAAAGAAGTTGTCATAGGTTAAATCTAGCAGATCGCTGATGTCTAGTTTTGTTCATTTCTGGTTGGATGTTCCTCGATGACTTAAAGAAATTGGGTATGTGAGAAGCTTAAGAAAACTTTTGATGAAACCATTTAATAATGTTTATTACTTTAGAAATACCATCCAAGCTTTCTTTACTAATATGTGAATTTCTCTTCTGTTTTTAGGAGACTGATGAGCAAAAACTTCACAAAATAGCCAATGAACTTTTGCTAACAGAAAGAGCTTATGTCAGCCGACTTGATCTCTTAGATCAGGTAATATTTTCTCTTTCAGAATTACTTTATTTTTGTCATTATACATCACTTTAACTTAGTAATTAAAGTGTTTTAGAAACTGCAAGAAGGACTTGCCTATTTCTGGCTGTTTCCTCAAGGAAATCGCTAACATTTTCAACTTTGTCAGTGAATTAATTAGGTATAAAGGTTTCATAATTCATAGAAGATTGAAAGACTCTCTTATGGGTCACAAAATGTCTTTATCTGTGTCTTTCAACCCTAAACCCTACTCTGTTTCTTCACCCTTTATTGTGATCCTGAAGACCATGTTACTAAATAGGAGATTCTGGTGCTGGCAGGAATACATCACTGATTCTTGTCTCACTTGCTGTTCAGCCATTGAGAGTGATTGGAATTGCCTACAGTCATAGGACCAGATGGAAATTTGAGATTTCACTTGTTCAGCCTTGCATGAAAAGTTAAAAACAGCGCCTGGTGTTAACAGTTGTTGAATATGTGAATAACATTTTGTACTTTTATCATGGTAGAGGCTTGTGAATCATCTCAAGTATACATTCATGAAAGAAGTTTTAAAATGCATCATTAAGAATAACTGGTCAACACAATGGCCCCTTAATCCTGTTGCTTTGATAAAAGATCAAGATAATTGGTAGATTGCTGATATAGACTCCTCTTATTAGAAGAGAAAATGAGTATTATGTTTGAGTGTTACTTTCAAGAAGGCTTGTCCCACTATGGCAATTGGAAAATGGAACTTTGTGGAAGCAGATCATCCTGGGCATGCCTCCACATCAGGAGTCCCTGGACTAAGCTATGTTGCCTGTTAGGGTGAGCCTGAAGGGGCCTGATTAAGACTTGTGTTCTCCAAAGTAATGAGTTTGTGACTCAAATACTCACTTTCCAAGGAATTTCGCCATAAGTCAATCAATTTATGTTGATTTGTACCTTTGAAATAAGGTCCCTTCTAATGGAGATTACAAACCTGAAACTTGTAGATATTCTTCTAGTGGAAATGTGCCTTTTCCTCTTATCAGGTTGCACTTTTTTTTCTTTCTTTTTTCCAGCCATAGTATCTTGTTAGTGACATTGGCTGACCTTTTAGAATTTAGAGTCTTAATTGGTAAAATATCCTATTGGAGTCTCTAAGGACATAATTTTGTATTCTTTTTGCCTCCCAAGAAAATGCAATAGAGGTGAATTTAGAAAATAAACAACCATCTGGACATTATGAAAGAACAGACTTCCTTCTGCCTACATTTAACAGAATGGCAATTAAGAGGTATAGTAGCCCTACTGGAGTAGAGCTAAGACTGCAAAACTATTTTTACTGTCTTTAAAATACCTGTTATTATGTACAAGAGAAGATTTTTTTATGCTCATTTCTGAGTTTTAAGTTACCATACATTATTACTTTGTAAAGCAGGAAAACATCTGAGAACCAAAATACTCTTTTGTTCATATGTTGACTGCCTTTTTATTAAGTGCCTGTCATGCTATGAGAACTAATTCACAGTGTTCTCTGTCCCCAAGGAGTGTACAGTTTAAATAGGGAAGATGAGATTTATGCCAATAAATTATAATAATGGGCAACATGTAATACATAAAAGTCATTCAAAATATAAAGAGGAGTGGAAAATACAATTATTGTGCATATATATAATTTTCCACATCTCTTAACTCTGCCTATGGATAGGAAGGGTAAATCCTATTGAAACCATTTTTCTCAGATTCGAACTTCAGCCCATGTTCCAGGACTCAAGCCTGGCCAAAACTCTGCTTAGGACTCTAACCCACATGGCTGGGACTTGACATTCACCTAAAACCTACAATAATGAAGCTCAGGTCCTCGATGTCTCATCACAGAAAGAATTCAGTGAGTGACAGAGTGATAGATAAAAAGTGGATTTATTCAGAGAGAAACACACTCCACAGACAGAGTGTGGGCCATCACAGAAGGCGAGTGTTGTGGCCCAAAAAATGCGCCATAATCAGTTTTTATGGGCTGGGTAATTTCATAGGCTAATGAGTGGAAAGATTATTCCAACTATTTTGGGGAAGGGGTGGAAATTTCTAGGAAGTGGGCCACCACCCACTTTCTGGTCTTTTGATAGTGCCTTGGGACTGTCATGGCGCCTCTGAGTGTGTCATTTAGCTTGCTGATTGAGGATCAAAGCCTAGTCGAAGTTGGCTTGTCTGTCATCTTGGACCCATTTGATTCTAATTGGTTTATGTTGTGTTCTTGGGCTTTGTCATTCTTTCAGAAGTTGTTCCCAGCCCCTTTCTTCCTGTTTCACCATTAGCCTCGACTGGAAATTTCTCTGGAACAGAAAAGATTAGTAGATAGAGGCACAGCCTAGGTTAGAATTAGTTTCCTAATTCTAATTCCTGGTCTTTCTCTATCAAAGCATATGCTCATTTCTACATTTCAAAAGTGATTGATTTCTTGAATCATGAACTTTTACATTTATTCAACAAAAAGTTATTAAGAGCCCACTGTGTGCCTTAGCACATGCTAGATGGTTAACCAGTAAATTTGAAGTAATATTTGCTTTATTCTCTTATTCAGGTATTTTATTGCAGACTATTGGAAGAAGCAAATCGAGGTTCATTTTCAGCAGAGCTGGTGAATAAAATCTTTTCTAATATTTCATCAATAAATGCCTTCCATAGTAAATTCCTATTGCCAGAGCTGGAGAAAAGAATGCAAGAATGGTAAGAGGAGTAGATAACAAATAATATATCTAAGGCAACATTTATGCAAAATTTTTATCTTAAAGATCGCTGAAAGACCTTGTAGTACATTTTTTGGCTTTAGTTGAAAACATTTTAGCTCTTCTTTCCAAGCTATAGTTTGATTAGTGGAAACAAGGTATTAGGGATTATGTGGAACGTCAAGAATTCCATAGCATCTCTCTTTACTGTGTCATTCCTAACTTTTTTAAAAAGTGCTTTTTTCATTCTGTCAGTTTCACAGCAACATGGATCTGATAAAAGCACAGGATGTGTGTATAAAAAGTGATTACTTCAATTAGCCTCCAGTTTATGAAGATAAATGAAAGAAAAAGTGATTACTTCATTTGGAGTCCTCTTAATTCACTCATTCTATAAGAAATCTTAATAACTTGCTTTTATGTTTTATACAGGGAAACTACCCCTAGAATTGGTGACATCCTTCAGAAATTGGCACCATTCCTTAAGATGTATGGAGAATATGTGAAGGGATTTGATAACGCAATGGAATTGGTTAAAAACATGACAGAGCGCATTCCCCAGTTCAAATCAGTAGTTGAAGAAATTCAGGTAAATAGAACTCTTTTGTTCAAGGTTATAAATTAATTTTTCTGTACAAATCCTAAGGTTTTCTAGATTTAAATTTTAGATTGAGGCTCCTAGCCAAATTCTGTTCTAAATTATGCAAAAATTATCTCTGCAAAGTTAAAATATTTATTGGGCTCATGCTATATACTGAACAGTAAATTCTCCACTTATTTTTAAGGCAGGGAGACTCTGATTTTATCAGGGTCCACATAAATTTACAAAGTAAGTTTCCACCCAGCTCTGTGTGTCTCTTGCTTGCTTTCAGAGGTTGAGATGTTGGAATTAATATAAAGAATACTATACACCATGACATTTTGGAAACATAATTACAGCTAACCCTTGGACAACACAGGGGTTAGGATCACTGATCCCCCACTGTTTGAAAATCCCAGTATAGTTTTATGGCCAGCCCTTCATATCCATAGTTATGCATCCATGGATTCAACCAACCATGGATTATGTAGTACTGTAGTACATATTTACTGGGGGGGACAAAAACAACAATGTGTGTATAAGTGGACCTGCACAGTACAAACCCATATGCGAGGATCAACTATATTCTGTTTCGTTACTTGGGGGAGGGGGGAATTGGTCATTTCATATATGTGGCTTAAAATTTCATCAAACCTGAATAATACATTTTAATAATACCATAATACTTTCTATTTGATTCTTTAGTCAAGACTGTTGATAACTTCTTTGCTTAAGTTTAAATATTGAAAAGGATTTCTTAGATCATCTAAGATTATTTGGGTGTGTATTCTTGACTGCCTTCTTTTGTCTTACATGGATATATTTTACCTGTGTTTAAAACCCATTAATACAGTGATATGATTACTGTTTTGTATAATTTTACATCTTAAAGAAGTTAGAATATTAAAAGTATCTATATACAAATCAATGTGATATACAATATTAAGAAAAGGAAAAACAGAAACCACATGATAATCTCAATAGATGCAGAAAAAGCATTTGATAAAATGCAACATCCATTCATGATACAAACTCTTACCAAAATGGGTATTGAGGGAACATGAAGTGAAAGTGAAAGTTGCTCAGGGATGTCTGACTCTTTGTGACCCCATGAGCTATATAGTCCATGGGATTCTCCAGGCCAGTATACTGGAATGGGTAGCCTTTCCCTTCTCCGGGGGATCTTGCTAACCCAGGGATCGAACCCAGATCTCCCTCATTGCAGGTGAATTCTTTACCAGCTGAGCCACAAGGGAAGGCCAGGAATACTGGAGTGGGTAGCCCATCCCTTCTCCAGCAAATCTTCCCAGCCCAGGAATCAAACTGGTGTCTCCTGCATTGTAGGCAGATTCTTTACCAACTGAGCTAATAGGGAAGCCCTTTGAGGGAACATATCTCAACTTAAAAGTTATGACAAACCTCAACCAGCATAGTACTTAACAGGGAAAGGCTTGAAAACCTTCCTGCTAAAATCTGGAACAAGACAGTGATGCCCACTCTCAGCATTTCTCTTCAACATAATAATGGAAGTCTTAGCCACAGCAATCAGAGAAGAAACAGAAAAGTTATCCAAATTGGAAGAAGAAGTAAAATTGTCATTGTAAGCGTATGACATGATGCTATATATAGAAAACTCTAAAGACTCCACACAGAAATTACTAGGACTGATAAACAAATTCAGCAACATAACAAGATACAAGATTAACATGCAAAAATCTGTTCCACTTCTTTACACTGACAATGAAATATCAGAATCAGTTCAGTTCAGTTCAGTCATGTCTGCCTCTTTGCAACTGCGTGGACTACAGCACGCCTGGCTTCCCTGTCCATCACCAACTCCCAGAGTTTACCCAAACTCATGTCCATTGAGTTGGTGATGCATCCAACCATCTCATCCTCTGTCGTCACCTTCTCCTCCTGCCTTCAATCTTGCCCAGCATCATGGTCTTTTCCAGTGAGTCAGTTCTTCCCATCAGGTGGCCAGAGTATTGCCGTTTCAGCTTCAGCGTAAGTCCTTCCAATGAAAATTCAGGACTGATCTCCTTTAGGATGGACTGGTTGGATCTCCTTGCAGTCCAAGGGACTCTAAAGAGTCTTCTCCAACACCACATCAATTCTTCAGCGCTCAGCTTTCTTTATAGTCCAACTCTTACAATCCATACATGACTACTGGAAAACCCATAGCTTTGACTAGACAGACTTTGTTGGCAAAGTAATGTATCTGCTTTTTAATATGCTGTCTAGGTTGGTCATAGCTTTTCTCCCAAGGAATAAGCAGCTTTTAATTCCATGGCTGTAGTCATCATCTGCAGTGATTTTGGAGCCGCCCAAATAAATAAAGTCTGTCACTGTTTAACCATCTATTTGCCCTGAAGTGATGGGACCAAATGCCATGATCTTAGTTTTCTGAATGTTGAGTATTAAGCCAGCTTTTTCACTGTCCTGTTTCAATTTCATCAAGAGGCTCTTTAGGTGTCATCTGCATATCTGAGGTGACTGATTTTTCTCCTGGCAATCTTGATTCTAGCTTGTGCTTCTTCCAGCCCAACATTTCTCATGATGTTCTCTGCATATAAGATAAATAAGCTGGGTGACAATATACAGCCTTGACATACTCCTTTCCAAACTTGGAACCAGTCTGTTGTTCCATGTCCAGTTCTAACTGTTGCTTCCTGACCTGCATACAGATTTCTCAAGAGGCAGGTCAGGTGGTCTGATATTCCCATCTCTTTCAGAATTTTCCACATTTTATTGTGATCCACACAGTCAAAGGCTTTGACATAGGCAATAAAGCAAAAATAGATATTTTTCTGGAATTCTCTTGCTTTTTTGATGATCCAGCAGATGTTGGCAATCTGATCTCTGGTTCCTCTGTCTTTTCTAAATCCAGCTTGAACATTTGGAAGTTCATTGTTCATGTACTGTTGAAGCCTGGCTTGGAGAATTTTGAGCATTATTTTACTAGCGTGTGAGATGAGTGCAATTATGTGGTAGTTTGAGCATTCTTTGACATTTCCTTTCTTTGGGATTGGAATGAAAACTGACCTTTTCCAGTCCTGTGGCCACTGCTGAGTTTTCCAAATATGCTAGCACATTGAGTGCAGCACTTTCACAGCATCATCTTTCAGGATTTGAAATAGCTCAACTTGAATTCCATCACCTCCACTAGCTTTGTTCATAGTGATGCTTCCTAAGGCCCATTTGACTTCGCATTCCAGGTTGCCTGGCTCTAGGTGAGTGAACATACCATCATGATTATTGGGGTCATGAAGATCTTTTTTGTACAGTTCTTCTGTGTATTCTTGCCACCTCTTCTTAATATTTTCTGCTTGTCTTAGGTCCGTACCATTTCTCTCCTTTATTGTGCCCATCTTTGTATGAAATGTTCCTTTGGTATCTCTAATTTTCATGAAGAGATCGCTAGTCTTTCCCATTCTATTGGTTTCCTCTATTTCTTTGCATTGATCACTGAAGAAGGCTTTCTTATCTCTCCTTGCTATTCTTTGGAACTCTGCATTCAAATGGGTATATCTTTCCTTTTCTCCTTTGCTTTTCCCTTCTCTTCTTTTCATAGCCAATTGTAAGGCCTCCTCAGACAACATTTTGCTTTTTTGCATTTCTTCTTCTTGGGGATGCTCTCAATTCCTGTCTCCTGTACAATGTCACGAAACTCCGCCCATAGTTCTCCAGGCACTGTCTATCAGATCTAATCCCTTGAATCTATTTCTCACTTCCACTGTATAATCGTAAGGGATTTGATTTAGGTTATCCCTGAATGGTCTAGTGGTTTTCTCTACTTTCTTCAATTTAAGTTTGAATTTGGCAATAAGGAGTTCATGATCTGAGCCACAGTCAGCTCCCAGTCTTGTTTTTGCTGACTGTATAGAGCTTCTCCATCTTTGGCTGCAAGGAATATAATCAGTCTGATTTCGGTGTTGGCCATTTGGTGATGATGTCCATGTGTAGACTCATCTCTTGTGTTGTTGGAAGAGGGTGTTTGCTATGGCTAGTGCGTTCTCTTGGCAGAACTCTATGAGTCTTTGCCCTGCATCATTCTGTCATCCAAGGCCAAATTTGCCTGTTACTCCAGGTATCTCTCGATTCCCTACTTTTGCATTCGAGTCCCCTATAATGAAAAGGACATCTTTTTTGGGTGTTAGTTCTAGAAGGTCTTATAGGTCTTCATAGAACTGTTCAACTTCAGCTTCTTCAGCATTAGTGGTCAGGGCATAGACTTGTATTACTGTGATATTGAATGGTTTGCCTTGGAAACAAACAGAGATCATTCTGTCATTTTTGAGACTGCATCCAAGTATTGCATTTCAGACTCTCTTGTTGATTATGAGGGCTACTCCATTTCTTCTAAGGGATTCTTGCCCACAGTAGTAGATGTAATGGTCATCTGAGTTAAATTCACCCATTCCAGTCCATTTTAGTTTGCTGATTCCTAAAGTGTCGATGTTCACTCTTGCCATCTTGCTGATTCCTACAGTGTTGATGTTCACTCTTGCCATCTCCTGCTTGACCACTTCCAATTTACCTTGATTCATGGACCTTATATTCCAGGTTCCTATGCAGTATTGTTCTTTACAGCATCAGCCTTTGCTTCTTTCACCAGTCACATCCACGCTGGGTGTTGTTTTTGCTTTGGCTCCATCTCTTCATTCTTTCTGGAGTTATTTCTCCACTGATCTCCAGTAGCGTATTGGGCACCTACCGACCTGGGGAGTTCCTCTTTCAGTGTCCTATCTTTTTGCCTTTTCATCCTGTTCACTGACAGTATTGCTGGGTGTGTGCTGTGTTTATCACTCTAAATCAAATGAGCCCTCTTCAGTTTCAGCAGAGAAACTGCCGGTCCTCACAGCCTGTCCCGCCCTGGGAAAATCTTCACTGACTGAGCTGATAGAATAGGTGCAGCCTCAGGCCAGAAGCCTCGGTCAGAATCTTCACATGAATGAACTGGTGGAAGAGCAGGTGCAGCCTCAGGCCCAAAAGCGTCAGGTCAGAGCTTCCCTGGTGGCTCAGACAGAAGAGTCTGCCTGCAATGTGGGAGACCCTGGTTTGATTCCTGGGTTGGTAAGATCTCCTAGAGAAAGAAATGGCAACCCACTCCAGTATTCTTGCCTGGAAAAATTCCATGGATGAAAGAGCCTGGAGGTCTGCAGTCCATGAGGTTGCAACCAGTTGGACATGACTGAGTGACTAACACACGCAGGCCAGAAGGCCACAGATTCTTACTGTTCTTACCCAAAGTTCAGCAGTTTAAAAAACAAAAACAAAATAAAATTTTCAGATTGTTACATGCTTTTGGTCAATTTCCAAAGTACTGAAATGATTGTTGTTAAGTTTTATCCAGCTTTAAAGTTGCTTTTTAAAGGGGTGATTTTGCCAGCATTCTTATTACTCAGTCGTAGCCAAAAGTCCTGCCCTTTTCTTTAATGTCTCTTTTCTCTCATGATTAAGCAGTCACCTATCTCTCTGAACACTGGATCTTTCTTTGATCCTTTCACTAGCTCCTTTTGCTTATATTGAAATGTGGGCAGAATATGAGGTTTTTTGCCCTGCATAATCTTTCTTTCCACTCTCTCAGTGACGTCATAGCTTCTCAAGCCTTTAACCATAATGTCATACAGATGCTTATAGGGTCAGTTCAGTTCAGTCTCTCAGTTGTGTCTGACTCTTTGCAACACCATGGACTGCAGCATGCCAGGCTTCCCTGTCTATCACCAACTCCCGGAGCTTGCTCAGACTCATGTCCAAGTGATACCATCCATCCATCTCATCCTGTGTCATCCCTTTTTCCTCCTGCCTTTAGTTTTCACCAGCTTCAGGGTCTTTTCCATTGAGTCAGTTCTTCCCATCAGGTGGCCAAAGTATTGGAGGTTCAGCTTCAGCATCAGTCCTTCCAATGAATATTCCGGGTTGAGTTTCTTTAGGATTGACTGGTTGGATCTCCTTGCAGTCCAAGGGACTCTCAAGACTCTTCTCCAACACCATAGGTCAAAAGCATCAATTCTTTCGTGCTCAGCTTTCCTTATGGTCCAACTCTCACATCCATGCATGACTACTGGAAAAACCGTAGCTTTGAGTAGACAGATGAACCTTTGTCGGCAAAGTAATGTCTCAGCTTTTTAATATGCTGTGTAGGTTGGTCATAGCTTTTCTTCTAAGGAGCAGACGTCTTTTAATTTCATGATTGCAGTCACCATCTGCAGAGATTTTGGAGCCCAAAGAAGATTAAGTCTGTCACTGTTTCCACTGTTTCCTCATCTATTTGCCATGAAGTGATGAGACCAGATGCCATGATCTTAATTTTTTGAGTTTTGAATTTTAAGCCAGCCTTTTCACTGTCTTCTTTCACTTTAATTGAGAGTCTCTTTAGTTCCTCCTTGTTTTCTGCCATAAAGGTGAGGTTGTCTGCATATCTGAGGTGATTGATGTTTCTCCCGGAAATCTTGATTCCAATTTGTGCTTCATCCAGCCTGGCATTTTGCATAACGTACTCTGCAGTTAAGTCACTATCTGCCTAAAGGGTCATTATTTCTAATTTAGTCCTTCATGCCTATACTCTAGTTACAAAATTCTGAGTGCTGGCTTCACAATTCTGTATGAGCATCTTGTCATCAATACAAAGTCAACATGTTCAATTCCCATCTTTAGCTTTCAAACATTTTTTCCACATAACATTTATACTTCGTTCAACAATGGAAAAAAAAATAAATAAACATATTGTAAACAGTTTAAAAAAAAAAAACAAAAAAACAAAATACCACTGGCACCAGATCATATATAGAGCAGACTTTTACTACAGATTTGGGGGCAAAGTTCGTGGGGTTAAATATTAAGTATCCCTGTTCCTAAATGACCTTTGAAGTTTTCTCCCTGTAAATTCCTCACTGGACATCTATTTACAAACTAACCAGCATCATTCTGCTCCGTTTTTATTTTCTTTTGATTTCATTTTCTACCTGCTACCCATACCCTTGCCAAACCTATTATACATATGTCGCAAAAATAACAACACTGTACCAGGCAGTATAAGTACTTTATGTATGTTCTTTCATATAACAGACACTTTCTCTCCCTGTGTTTGGCCCCTAGGTATCCAGGCCAAAACATTTGGAGCTTCATCTTTTTTGTCTCAACAAATATTAAATGCATTTTTTGCTTGAAAAAAAAAAAAATAAAATAAAATATCTAATTATTTAAAAAAAAAAACATTTATACTTCGTGACCTTTGTGATTATGTGATTTGATTTATTACATAGCACCAATATTCTTTTATTCACCAGAATTTGATCATGGGACTTTATCTTTGATTTATCATTTTTCCTCATTCTCTGTATGTGTTCATTAAACAATATATTCAAGGGACTTAACATGGAGCTTGTTGCATGTAAGTGCTCAATATGGTGATGGTGATAATGACTATTATTATTGTTTCATCAAGTATTAAAACTCTGAATCAGCAATATCTATCTTCTCCTCATTATAAGGAAAGGATGGAGTTGTGAAAGGAGTGGTAGATTGAGAATCAGCTAAGCTAGTTAAGATTCTAGTCTGCCACTTATAGTCACTTGACCTTAGAAAACTCCCCTAACTTTTCTGGACCAGTTTCCTCACATAAAATTTGGGGGATCAGTAATACTTTCCTGGAGATATATGTGTGTACACGTATATGTGTGTGTGTCCCCGAGGCTTGCTGGAGAAAGTCAAATGGGATAACTAAACTTATAATGATTATCTTACAGGTTATTAAGGAGAGCCATTCACTCTCAGCTTCCATGCTAATTTCAGGCTGTTTTTACTTTTTTCTTGGGCTACAGTAACTTTCAAGCTAGTTTCCCTACATGTTCCCAAAGCCACCTTACAATAGATTAATCTTAACAGATGTCATATCTAATGATATCACTCCCCTGCCTGAAAACCTGCATTAGATAAAGTAAATCTAAACCCAGCTTGACATTAATACACCAGATTACATTTTAGTTTCTTGTTTGCTTTGAATGAAAATATCATGTCTTATCTTAATATTGACACATTTTTTACCCTGCAGTGCCCTGGTCATGGTCATCAGTAAATATATTAAGGGGTTTCTGCTTTGTTTAATATGAAGAGGAACACATCTTATTTTTCAAGTAATCTTTTTTCTCCCCTTCCACATTAATTGCTTACTGAAAGCATGTTCTATAGACTCAGTTTTGCCAGAGCAAAGGAAATCTATTCAGAGTTTGGTTTCTAATGGAAAAGAATGCCATGACATAATGAAAAATTAAAATTTTATTATCTTGTCACCCTTCTCCATGTGGAGTCTTTTCAGTTCAAAGGAAATGACATTTATAGTAGCCTTATTATGGGATAGTTTCTGCTGAATCCATAGTCATTTAATATAGTTACTTAGTGAACCTCTTTAAATAGATGCTTCTTTTGAAAATCTCTGGAGTTATGATTTGATAGTGTGACCTGACAAGTGAAACAAGGGTTTCTTGTAATGACCAGTGAAAGTAGATGCTGTCAATCTGGAATTTTCTTGCTTAAAATTCTGCTTGATTTTTTTTTTTTTTTTTTTCTGAGTAGATTGGTGGTCCTCAGACTTTAATGGAAAAAATTGGGGATGTTCTTAAATACATATGCCCAGGCTGTGGCCTCAAAACTGTAGTTTCATAGTTTGGAGTGGGGTTTAGGATTTCCATTTTTAATAGCATCCCAAGAATGTATCTAAGGCAGGTGTCAGGCAGGCCACACTTTGTAGAGAAACTCTGCCCTTAGTGAAAGTTCTGTTTTACCTTGAGTTTTTAGACTGGCTAACCTAATTTTTAAATCTTTCTTTAAAAACCTTTCTCATTACAGAAACAGAAGATCTGTGGGAGCTTGACTTTGCAGCATCACATGCTAGAACCTGTTCAGCGCATTCCCCGGTACGAGATGCTCCTTAAGGACTACCTAAGGAAATTGCCCCCTGATTCTCCGGACTGGAATGATGCTAAAAGTAAATCCCCCCTTCCATTATGTGATAATTTAGTGGCCAAGTAGCCTTGTGATTTCAAAGTGAAGTAGAAGCCACTTTAGTAAAATATTGGTGTCAGAAAATAACCTCACTGGAAATTGTCATCAACACCTCAATTAGGCAAGCACTTTTTAGCCCAAATCATGGGCTTAGCGCAATGCAAATCACATTTCTCATGCTGGTTTCACATTAGTGATTAACTCTGACATATAGAACTGTAGTCTTAGAGACATCTGGAATAGCAATACACAATTACCTTCTCACAGGAAGAATAAAACCATTCGGAATTACTAGTGCTGCTGGTTAATTAGGGGAGTAGATATATACCAAGAAAACTAAGATGACATTTACTATTTAAAAATAGCCTAAGCAAAGTGATTTCTCTCTACCTTTTACTAAGATAGAAGAGAGAATAATGCTGTTTAGTGTCAGTTAGCATTTTCCCTAAGAAAACTTAATTCATGTTCTACTCATTATCTTTTTTTTTTCATTAGGTCATAATGAAAGACTTTTTAGGACCTAAGTGTTTCAATAAGATATTTGTTTTCTTGTGTACTTTTGAAAAAATCAATTAACTGTGTAGAATGAAAATTTAATTTGGGTTGGTAATCAACATGTACTACAACTGCTACTAAAACCAGCAGAACTAGTGGTAGGATTGGAAGTTAGATTACTATTGCTACTTCTCAGACTAGTCTCTTGGGCAGTAGCCCCAGCCCATCTTAACTTGTCTCCATCTACCTTGGATCCTATATGGAATGTACTGAGTTGCCCAAATCAGGATAGTTCTCTAAAATATAAATAAAAATTCCTTTTCATCTGTATTCAAAGACTTTGACTTCTGCTGAGGTACTTACGTCAAAAGTGAGAAAGTCGGGATTATCTGATGGTCCACTAGTTAAGAATTCACCTGCCAATGCAGGGGATACAGTTTTGATCTCTTTTCTGGGAGGATTCCACATGCTGCAGAGCAACTAAGGCTATGCATCACAACTGTGGAGCCTGTGAGCCACAACTACTTAAAGCCCATGCACCGTAGAGCTCATGTTCCACAACAAGAGATGCCACAGAAGTGAGAAGCCCATACACCACAACAAAGAGTAGCCCCTGATTGCTGCACTAGAGAAAGCCTACACACAAAACAAAGACCCAGGGCAGCCAAAAAATAATTAAATAAATAAAATTTTTAAAATAGGAAAAAAAAACTGTGTGGTGAGAAGGGTAGGGGCTGGTGGTCCCCACTCCACCTCCCCGCTTTCCAAAATGAGAAAGTCAGCAACATAATAGGGTATTTTATTACTCTTTGATTTCCCATTACTACTTATACTAATATTCTAAGGAAACACAAAAATACTTTTAGAAACCTAAAAGTAGAGGGGAAAGCAGCAAAAGTGCATTTTGTTCAGCAGTAGAACAAAGAAGACAGAAAAGTTGGTTCAGAATGATGAGGTGGTTGTGATACCAGCATTAACCCAACCAATATTCATAAGATAGAAAAGAAAGGAGGAGAGCAGGACATGATGGAGGATTGAGAACATCCCTCAGGTTAACTCAGCAGGAAGCCTCAGCTTCCACCTTCAACCTCTCTTCACCAGTAGTCCTGAAGCTCCTACCTTGCCCATATCAAAGATCCTACCTTCCCCATTCCCATCTCTCACTACCACCTGCCCTAGCAACAAAACCTTCCATTGACATTGGCATCAGACAATTCTCTCTCACCTAGATTAGAACTGTGAATGTGTTTTCCCAGAGAAAACTGATTTATGTTTCATGGTTAATTTACTTGTAAAACTAGTTAAATACTTACTACTGCTGAAATGTTGCAGAACTTTTGAGTCAGAAGACTTAGGTTCAAATGTAGCCCTTCAGTATCATGATTTGTGACCCTACCCAAGTAACATCACTCTCTGCTTCTTTCACCTGCCAAATTAAGCTAATGTATTTTCCATTCAGGGTTGCATAAAAATGAATTGACATAATACATATGAACACCACTGACAAAGTGCCTTGTAACAAGCTATTGTCACGATGTTTGCTATTTTGAAGATTCCTAATGAATTAAATATACCTGTGAGTCTAGTCACTATGCTGCTGCTGCTGCTAAGTCGCTTCAGTCTTGTTTGACTGAGTGCGACCCCAAAGACGGCAGCCCACCAGGCTCCCCTGTCCCTGGGATTCTCCAGGCAAGAACACTGGAGTGGGTTGCCATTTCCTTCTCCAATGCATGAAAGTGAAAAGTGAAAGTGAAGTCGCTCCGTCGTGTCCGATTCTTAGCGACCCCATGGACTGCAGCCTACCAGGCTCCTCCATCCATGGGGCAGGCAAGAATACTGGAGTGGGTTGCATTTGCCTTCTCCCTAGTCTCTATATATGACTTTTTATGAGTAAATACCTTTCAAATTCCAAATCATCTGCTTACAAATGAACTTTGGAAGTATCCAGTTTATAAATGGAAATTACCCTTGCTTTTACTGTGTGTCTTTGCTCTCAGATTCCTTATTAAACTATGTATTACTCAGCTATCTAGTAATATAGTAAGGACAGTATATTTACTTTTCTTTTTTCCTGTTTAGAATCACTTGAAATTATATCTACAGCAGCAAGCCATTCTAATAGTGCAATAAGAAAAATGGTAAGTAGTTTTCAGAAGAAATGGGAATCTTTTAGTTAGACAATTGTTAATAGTGTAGTCTAATATTATCTACAGTTTTGGGCCAAAATGAATTGATACAAGTGAACAAAAAATATTTTTTATAAAATGTTTAGGACTATCTGTGATTATGCTCTTCCCTCTTCTCCCAGGTTTTAATTTGCTCTTAACTGATCTTTATACTTAAGTTTATGCTTAGTTCCAATCCTTTCTGAATTGTGTATATTTTAGCTGCAGTCATTGATTAAAGGCATTTAGGTGAAACCTCCTTATATTTGATCTTTCTGTGTTTTGTTTTAATTTCCTAGGAAAACCTAAAGAAACTGTTAGAGATTTATGAAATGTTGGGAGAAGAAGAAGACATTGTAAATCCTTCAAATGAATTAATAAAAGACGGACAGATCCTCAAACTAGCTGCTCGGAACACATCAGCACAAGAGCGCTACCTTTTCCTAGTGAGTTTTGTAGTATGAGGAAGTCACGTAAGAATACCTCATAACACTGTTTTATGTATCTTGAAAAAATAGGGTGCTTGCTTGCTCACCCAAGCAATTATTTCTTATCTGATTTAGTCAATACTGTCTGAATTCCACATCAGGAAAGGTCTGTAGTAACTGAAACTTGTTCTTTGAAGGACATAAATCTGTTTTTCAAGTTTTTTCTCTGATTTTTCAGTGTACTTATCATGAGTAATTTATTTCAGTAACACATAGTAAAGATAAATTTAACCTTTTCTTGAAGATCATAGGCATCAGTATACATGGGGATCACTATTTTAATTATTCTTGTTTAAAGAAATATATAGACAAATTTGCAAAACTTGTGCTTCAAATGTCTGTGTAAAAGTACATGAGTTTGCCACATAGTTCTTTTTCACTGTAGTCACTCCCTGTCCCTCTCTCAACTTCGTGGAAATGACAGTTGGTCTAGAACTGCCTGGAGAAGGGAATGGCAAACCACTTCAGTATTCCTGCCTTAAGAACCTCATGAACAGTATGAAAAGGCAAAAAGATATGACACTGAAAGATGAACTCCCCAGGTTAATAAGTGCCCAATATGCTACTGGAGAACAGTGGATAAATAACTCCAGAAAGAATGAAGAGATGGAGCCAAAGCAAAAACAACACCCAGCTGTGGATGTGACTGGTGATGGAAGTAAAGTCTGATGCTGGAAAGAGCAATATTGCATAGGAACCTGGAATGTTAGGTCCATGAATCAAGGTAAATGGGAAGTGGTCAAACAGGACAAGGCAGGACATTTTAGGAATCAGAGAATTAAAATGGACCAGAATGGGTGAATTTAGTTCAGATGACCATTATATCTGTTACTGGGGGGAAGAAACGGAGTAGCCCTCATAGTCAACCAAAGAGTCTGAAATGCAGTACTTGGATGCAATCTCAAAAATGACAGAATGATTTCTGTTCATTTCCAAGGCAAACCATTCAGTATCACAGTAATCCAAGTCTATGCCTCAACCACTAATGCCAAAGAAGTTGAAGTTGAACAGTTCTATGAAGACCTTCAATACCTTCTAGAACTAGTATCAAAAAAAGATGTCCTTTTCATCATAGGGGACTGGAATGCAAAAGCAGGTAGTTAGATATCTGGAGTAACAGGCAAGTTTGGCCTTGGAGTACAAAATGAAGTAGGGCAAAGGCTAACAGTTTTGTCAAGAGAACACACTGGTCATACAAAACACCCTCTTCCAACAACATAAGAGAAGACTCTACACATGGATATCACCAGATGGCCAACACCGAAATAAGATTGATTATATTCTTTGCAGCCGAATATGGAGAAACTCTATACAGTCAGCAAACACAGGACCAGGAGCTGTCTGTGGCTGAGATCATGAACTCCTTACTGCAAAATTCAGACTGAAACTGAAGAAAGTAGGGAAAGCCACTAGACCATTTAGGTATGAACTAAATCAAATCCCTTATGATTATACAGTGGAAGTGACAAATAGTTTCAAGGAATTAGATGTGATAGACAGAGTGCCTGAAGAATGATGGACAGAGGTTCATAACATTGTATAGGAGGCAGTGATTAAAACCATCACTGGTTTTGCAAAAAAGCAAAATGTTTGTCTGAGGAGGCCTTACAAATAGCTGAGAAAAGAAGAGAAGGTAAAGGCAAAGGAGAAAAGGAAAGATATACCCATTTGAATGCATAGTTTCAAAGAAAAGCAAGAAGAGATAAGAAAGCCTTCCTCAGTGATCAAGGCAAAGAAATAGAGGAAAATAATAGAATGGGAAAGACTAGAGATCTCTTCAAGTAATTTAGAGATATAACAGAACATTTCATGCAATGATGGGCCCAATCAAGGACAGAAATGGTATGGATCTAACAGAAGCAGAAGATATTAAGAAGAGATGGCAAGAATACACAGGAGAACTATACAAAAAAGATCTTCATGACCCAGATAACCACAATGGTGTGATCACTCACCTAGAGTCAGACATCCTGGACTGGGGAAGTCCACTGAGCCTTAAAACGCATCACTGCAAATAGAGCTAGTGGAGATGAGTGATGCAACTCTGACTTAGAATATTTGACTCAGGAATATTAGAGTTAACAGGGGAACATTTCACGCAAAGTGAAAGTGAAAACCACCCTGTTGTGTCCAACTCTTTGCAACCCTATGGATTATACAGTCCATGGAATTCTCCAGGCCAGAATACTGGAGTGGGTAGCCTATCCCTTCTCCAGCGGGTCTTCCCCACCCAGGAATCTAACTGGAGTCTCCTGCATTGCAGGTGGATTCTTTACCTATTGAACTGTTAGGGAAGCATCTTCATACAGAGATGGGCACAATAAAAGACAGAAATGGTATGGATCTAACAGAAATATAAGATATTAAGGGGTGATAAGAATACACAGAACTATAGGAAATGGTTGTTAGTGACCCAGATAACCATGATTGTGTGATCACTCACCTAGAGCCAGACATCTTGGAGTGTGAGTTCAAGTGGGCCTTAGAAAGCATCACTATGAACAAAGCTAGTGGAGGTGATGGAATTCCAGCTGAGCTATTTCATATCCTAAAAGATGATGCTGTGAAAGTGCTGTCCTCCATATGCCACCGAATTTGAAACTCAGCAGTGGCACAGGACTGGAAAAGGCCAGTTTTCATTCCAATCCCAAAGAAAGGAAATGTCAAAGAGTATTCAAACTATCGCACAGTTGCACTCATCTCATATGCTAGCAAAGTAATGCTCAAAATTCTCCAAGCTAAGCTTCAACAGTACATGAACCAAGAACTTGCAGATGTTCAAGCTGGATTTAGAAAAGGCAGAGGAACCGGAGATCAAATTGCCAACATCTGTTGGATCATAGAAAAAGCAAGAAAATCCCAGAAAAACATCTACTTCTGCTTCATTGACGAAGCTAAAGCCTTTGACTCTGTGGATCACAATGAACTTTGGAAAATTCTTCAATAGATGGGAATAACAGACCACCTTACCTCCCTCCTGAGAAATCTGTGTATAGGTCAAGAAGCAACAGTTAGAACCTGGCATGGAAAACATACTGGTTCCAAGTTTGGAAAGGAGTACATGAAGGCTGTACATTGTCACCCTGCTTATTTAACTTACATGGATAGTGCATCATTGCAAAATGCTGGGCTGGATGCAGCACAAGCTGGAATTGAGATTACTAGGAGAAATATCTGTCATCTCAGATATGCAGATGACACCATGCTTGTGGCAGAAAGCAAAGAGGAACTAAAAAAGCTCTTGATGAAAGTGAAAGAGGAAAGTGAAAAGGCTGGCTTAAAACTCAGCATTAAAAAAATGAAGATCATGGCATCCAGTCCCATCACTTCATAGCAAAAAAGTGAGGAAACAGTAACAGACTTCATTTTTCTGGGCTCCAAAATCTCTCTGCAGATGGTGACTGCAGCCATGAAATTAAAAGACACTTGCCCTTTCAGAAGAAAAGCTATGACCCACCTAGACAGCATATTAATACTTTGCCAACAAAGATCCATCTAGTCAAAGCTATGGTTTTTCCAGTAGTCATGTATGGATGTGAGAGTTGGACCATAAAGAAAGCTGAGCACCAAAGAATTGATGCTTTTCAAATGTGGTGTTGGAGAAGACTCTTGAGAGTCCCTTGGACTTCACGGTGATCAAACCAGTCACTTCTACAGGAAATCATTCCTGAATATCATTGAAAGGACGATGCTAAAGCTGAAGCTCCAATTCTTTGGCCACCTCATGGGAAGAACTGACTCATTGGAAAAACCCTGATGCTGGGAAAGATTGAAGACAAGAGGAGAAGGGGATGACAGAAGATGAGATGGTTGGATGGCATCACTGACTTGATGTACATGAGTTTCAGCAAGCTCTGGTAGTTGGTGATGGATAGGAATGTCTGGCATGCAGTAGTCCATGGGTTCGCAGTGAGTCAGACACAACTGAGCAACTGTTTTGAACTGAACTAGGACTTACTGAAAATAAGAGCTCTTCTTGGGGCATCCAGGTCTTTATTTTTAGTCTTTATTATTTCCAGTCCCTTTCTATATCTTAATGATCAATAATAATCATAACAGCTAACAATGTTAATAATAAGCTAACCTTGAATAATTGAATAATAGCTCAGTGAATTTTAGCTATTTCTATGATTGTTATTATAGGCAAAGAAACAGAGTGACATTGATAAAGAGGCTGCCCTGTAACTGTCACATGACACATTCTCAAGATGTTATTCATGTCTGACTTTTCTGCTGCATGACAGTCATATCACCAGCCTTAGTATGAGTTGTATGGACTAGAGGATTCTGTTGTCTGATTGCAGCTTCCCTTGAAAGACAAATTTATAGGAACTAACTGTCATGCAGAGGGTGTTCATGATATCTCTCATTTTTAAAAAAGAACATTTGGTCACCAGGTGATCGAACATTTCTAGTTCAAGTTTATAAAACTCAAGAAAATTGAAAACATGTCCACACAAAATTTGTACATGAATGTTCTTAGCAAAATTATTTATTATAGCCCCAAAGTGGAAACAACCTAAATGTTCATCAACTGATGAGTAGATAAACAATTTGGTATACCTATTCACTGGAATATTATATGGCAGTAAAAAGTAATAAAATACTAACATATGCTACGTGGATAAACTTTGAAACATCGTGTAAGTGAACAAAGCCACTTACAAAAAGGTCACACTGTATGATATGATTTCATTTATATAAAATGTCTAGAATATTACTTACTACTTATAGGAAGTAAGTAGTGGTAGCCTTGGGCTGGTGGGGAGAGGAAATAGGCACAGGATTTCTGTTTAGAGTTATGAAATGTTCTGAAATTAGTAGTGATGGTTACACAATTAACAACTATATAAAATCCATGAATTAAACATTTTAAAAGCATTTTTTGAATTATATCTCATAACTTATAATTTTTATAGATAGTTTCCAAATTACCTATAAAAAAATCTTCATTTGGGCTCAAAAGAAGAACTTCACCTTTCAGAGGTTTTATAGAGACCTAAATGTAAATCAGGGACTTGTAATGTTTTATCAGGGTTCAGAGATCTATTTACTTAGAAATATAGGTTTTGTTACTCAGATATGGTGAAGCCAACACATCAGGAGATGATTGCCATTGAAAAGATAGTTATAATCACAGATCCCAAAAGGTGGGAGAATGCCACACCAAGGGCTTTGTGAAAAAGCACCAGGGTTGGTCAGAAGGCAGAGGGAGCAAGCAGAACATGTGGGCAAGAACTTTTAGTTTGGTTTCTGCAAGAAGGAATAGGCAAAACAGGGAAAACATGCTTAGAATTTACTGGTTTAATCATTTCATTATGCTGTGAGGCACAGGGACTGTCGCCTGGTACCTAGCCTTAGGGTTCTTGGAGAAGGGGAACACTGGCCCAGAGTATGAAAACTCAGTGGGGAAGGTGGCTGGGGTGTGGGCTCTGCACCTGTTAGATTTATACTTGCGCGTGAGTCCCTCCCTGTCTCAGAACTAAGTAGTCCTGAGAGGGGGCATCACTTCATGGCAAATAGATGGGGAAACAGTGAAAACAGTGGCTGACTTCATTTTGGGGGGCTCCAAAATCACTGCAGATGGTGATTGCAGCCATTAAATTAAAAGACGCTTACTCCTTGGAGAGAAAGTTATGACCAACCTAGACAGCATATTAAAAAGCAGAGACATTACTTTGCGAACAGAGGTCCATCTAGTCAAGGCTATGGTTTTTCCACTGGTCATGTATGGATGTGAGAGTTGGACTGTGAAGAAAGCTGAGCACAGAAGAATTGATGCTTTTGAACTGTGGTGTTGGTGAAGACTCTTGAGAGTCCCTTGGACTGCAATGAGATCCAACCAGTCCATCCTAAAGGCAATCAGTCCTGGGTGTTCATTGGAAGAACTGATGCTGAAGCTGAAACTCCAAGCTGTTCGGAGAACAGATGGCAAAGGGCCTTGAGGGGATACAGCAGTAGTGACTTTGAGGAAAGTACCTGAAAGTACCTATCTTGTTCCAGTTATTATAAGTTATCAAACATACCATTCTCCTTTCAGGAGAATGAAGTCCTACAGTAGAAATTTTAGGAAAGCCTTATCCATCTTTTGAAGACCATTTTAGAAGCATTTTCTATGATGTTCATTCTTTCAGTCCTCCCCCTCTAGTACTGCACTTGTCATAGAATCTCTCTTCTCTGCAGCACACGTTTATTCCCGTGGAGTATCTTACTTTTCTTATATGCAGAAACTTCAGAAGTACCTTTTTATTTTCCTTTCTCTCTAGACATAAAATGAGGGCTAGTTTTCTATTTATTACTCTGAAGATGTTACATTCGTAAATCTGAAAAGCCAAATTTATATTTAAAATTTGATTCGGCTTTCAAATGATCATCATGTGTTTGCATTGTTTTGTTGCCTCCACATTATTCTTTTCATGTTAATGAAAAGGGCACTCTGTTGAGTAAGTATACAATCACATCTGACATCTGAAAGTTAAAAAAAAAACACTAAATTCTCCCATAGAATAAGAGATTTTACTTATTCTTGGCTCTTTGGAGTTCTAGTCCTTATTTCCTTGTAGCTTTTGACCGAGTTATTATATATATATATATATATATAAAATGTATTATATATATATATATATATATAATGTATTATATATATATATACACACATACATACATACATATATGTATATATGTACATATATTTTTTTTTCTCTTGACTAATTTAAAACTTTGAATATAGACCAGGCACTGGAAATTTTCTCCAACAGTATATTTTTACCTTCTAAAGCAAACTTTAGTGAAGTGTCATGAGGGACATAAAATTAAATTGTTTCAGTCAGATAATATATTTTAAGAGAATTGAAAGAATCAAGGAACACTGGAGATTAAGTAGGTGAACCCCCCCCCCCCCCGCTGCTCTTTTAATAAAGTTGAGATTTTCTTCTAGGTTTTGACAGAGTCTAGCTCTTCTAGATTGGAGAAGGAAATGGCAACCCACTCCAGTATTCTTGCCTGGAGAATCCCAGGGACGGGGGAGCCTGGCGGGCTGCCGTCTATGGGGTCGCACAGAGTTGGACACGCCTGAAGCAACTTAGCAGCAGCAGCAGCAGCTCTTCTAGAGCTTGCCAGCCAGAGAGTGCTTTGTCAGTAACTACTTCTGAGCTATGGGCATGGAATAAAAAGAATCTCTTTCACTGAAAGGGAAAGTCAATCTACTTGGTCCTACAGTTGTTATAACTTCCTCTTTTAGTCCTAGCAAAAACCCAGCGAAGGTGATGGTGGCTTTTGCCATAGGAGCAAGATTTCACAGAGGCAACAGGTGCACCTGCACCTCTAAGTAGAAGAAGAAGGGTATTTATTAGGTATGTTGTAACCTGAGTTTATATAAGATTAATATATAGTATTGACAATTTAGAATGTGAAGTCCCACTGAGGAAGAATAGGGAAAATATAATCCTGAAAGCATGAAAGGGAAAGAGAAGCACATCATTGTAAGACAGTCTGTCATGTTTTGTGAGCATAACTGCCAAAAGCAAATGCTCAGAACTTCCATATTCATGGGCTTGTGTTTCTATAAGAGGATAAGACTTTGTCGCACTTTATACAGCAAATTTGAGTATGTGTATCTCATAACTCAGAAATTTCATTCCATAACATTACATTTGTCACTCAGTTTGTAGAAAAATTTGATTGTTTTTGCTGTCTTGAAAGTGTGCGTCCTCTCCATCTTGGTGGCTGCTTTGTAGCCCCACCGCACTGTTCAGATGTAGCGAAACCCCCTTCTGAGAAGGCCTTGATAGGAGAGAGAAAGAAATACTAACATGAACAGTTAGCAAGCAAGGTGTTGCCTTAATCAAGCTGCACTGATGATGATAACCTTTAAGAGTAGTTTCAGGTCTCCAGATTCTGTGTACTACAAGGAGGCTGTGATTGCCATACTTAGAATATAGTGGGCAATTAATGATAAAGATGGATTATATTCCCTTCTAGAAATGTGAATTTGAAGTGTTGTACTTAAGTATATCTGATAAAAATGTATTCAGTGACCTTTTATTTCTGCATTATCCAGTATGGAAATGAAATTTATGACACTGGTCATAGGAAGTTAAAAATAATGTATGAGGAACAACTGGTAAAAAAAATTTGCTTTCGGAATGAGTACAGTGGACATTGTCACATAAACATGTTGACATGTTTTAAATATCCATCAACATTTCTTTGATGTTTGGAGCTAAACAGAAGACCTGGCAGAACAGGACATTATTACTCATTTAATCCTCTCAGCAACTTGTGACTTTTACAGATAATGATCCTGAGGAATGAGAGGTTACATAAGAGGTTCAGTGCTCAGTTGCTTTTGTCTTATAAAAAATATATTTAATCCTAGAAACAATGTTAGAATAAATATGAAGTAGGAAGAAAATTGTGGACCTTCTTTAGTTAATCTGCTTACAAGTTAATCCAGATACTTAGACTTTCATCCTTTTGCATGATTTAATATATTTAAAAGTTAATTAAATGCCCTCCCCAAATCATTGCTTGGTAGTGATTAGCAGGGCCTGTTCATTGTTGACTAGAAATGAGGTAGTAATTTGATTCAGTTTCAAAATAAATCCTTCATTTTAAATAAAGACTTTTTACTAAAATAGATGACTTTTCTGTTTTAATTGAGGGATAATTGCTTTACAGACTTTGTTGTTTTCTGCCAGACCTCAACATGAATCAGCCATAGGTATATACATATCCCCTCCCTTTTGAACTTCCTTCCCATCTCCCTCCCCACCCCACCGCTCTAGTGGGATGATACTAGATGATACAGAGCCCCTTTTTGAGTTTTCTGAGCCATACAGCAAATTCCTGTTGGTTGTCTGTTTTACATATGACAATGTAAGTTTCCATGTTACTCTTTCTGTACATCTCACCCTCTTCCCTCTTCCCATGTCCGTAAGTCTATTCTCTATGTCTGTTTCTCCATTGCTGCCCTGTAAATAAATTCTTCAGTATCATTTTTCTAGATTCCGTATATATGTGTTAGAATAATGCTATTTATCTTTCTCTTTCTGACTTACTTCACTCTGTATAATAAACTTAACATTAAGCACATTGGTAAAAATAATTGCTATATATTGCTCTTTTCCTTTAACAGCTATTATAGACTTGTTGCCTGAGATACAACAATTAGAAATTTTATTGTCTAAGGGCTTCAACTTATATGGTTGAGAACTTCAGTTTCTGGTATATCCTTAATAAATTATTACTGAACCTAATTTCTTTAACTGATTTTCTTACTAGTATAAAATGATTTCTTTACTTAAATATTAGCAAGATATTTATGAACCAACAAAGGAAAATACATGTTACAAATTTTTTAATAATATAATCATTTTGATATAGGCATAAAAGCTCTATAGTACAGAAATAATTTTTTCACAGAGAAAGCATGATATTCCCTGGAATTTTTGTCTTGGGCTACTTTCAATGTTGGTCACTTTCCTCTGCCTTGCTTTCCTGTTTTTTTAACGTGTATTCCTCTTTCTTGCAGTTCAACAACATGTTGTTATACTGTGTGCCAAAATTCAGCTTGGTGGGCTCTAAGTTCACTGTTCGAACCAGGGTAGGCATCGATGGAATGAAAATTGTAGAGACTCACAATGAAGAATATCCACACACTTTCCAGGTATCTGGGAAAGAGAGAACACTGGAACTGCAAGCCAGGTAAGAGAACCATTCCTCTCTCACAACTTTCCAAAAGCATCAGGTTAAATCATAGGATACAACAATTCTGAGGCCTTTTCCCAAGCTTGGTTGAACATAAATGGAAAGATATAAGCTCTTGAAAGTCTGAAATTGTCTTCCATTTTGATTCCTGGTGCCTGGAATAGTGGTTTTTCAGACAGTAAACATTCAATAAATTAATTTGGCTGTTTAGATTTACAAGATGCATTTACAAGAATGAAGTTGTTGCATTCAAGCTGAAGTTTCAAGTCTTGGAGGAAAAATTTCTCTCCTAACCATTTTCCCTTCCATCTTTCCTTTTGGTTCACAAATGTTTACTGATGTTTATTATTTCATGATAAACGTTGAAGCTCTAGCAATCTGTCCTTCAGAGACTCTGCATCTGTAGGACTTAATGACACTTTGGTCTAGAGAATGACTGGAGGAGGCATTTTGGAAAAGATAATTCTCCTGCCACAATTGAGGATACATGAAGGGGGCCATTTGGGGCTCTAGTAGCCTCTAGCAACCAGGACTTCTGGAAGGGGTGGCTCTTCTTATATGCTTTATTGAGTAGGAGAAAAGAGCTAGAGGTCTAGCATCCATCCCTCTAGCATCACCATGTTTGGGAAGAAAAAAAAACCTGAGAACCACCTGTAGTAGATCACAGCCACCTCATGTGTGAACCTCTAGAAAACAGAATGCTGTCAGAAACTATCATCCTTTTATCCTATAAAGACCAAGCATGGTGAAAATTGAGATTTGCCAGAAGTTCTGTACAGATCAGAAGGTTAACTACTAATCCCAGCTCTAATAGTTCTGATACCTTAGAGCCTGTGGAGAATCAGAGAACCCTTGTGTTCCTTTCTATGTGGTTCTGGCTGCCCATGTGAGCTCTTCCAGGATATTTGTGCTAATAAGCACTACTAATAAGTAAGGTGCCTGCCAGGCTACAGTCGATAGGGTTGCAAAGAGTCACATACAGCTGAAGCAACTTAGCACACACAATTCTGTACAAGCTTAAACTTCATATTTTCAAAAGAGAATAAATTATTTTAGTATGAATTTGTGCCCAGGGAGCAAGGGAATGGTGAATACAGACATGGAATGTGTGGCAGACTAGGAAAGTTTGAAGAAATACCTTGCCGGTTCTTTGATTTTCCACAGAAAATATTTAATGAACCTGTTTTGCTTAGGGAGCTTCCAGGAGGGTTCTCTGAGGATTAGAAGGTGGAATTTCAAGCATGAGTTAAAGTGGTGAAGTACTTGGCCTTAAATGTTACAGTTTTCCTACTTTATCATGGTGAGATTTGGACCCCGCTGTCAAACCTAAGAGAACAATGTATGTTGCTGTGTGTGGAAGCTCTTGACTGAATTCCTTATTCAGTGGTCGACTTACTGAGTGACCCTGGTGCCAGGGAAGACTCATCAATATTTCAGATCATCATAGAAGTCTTCATTACTGATGAATGAAGGTGTTGCTAGCTCTGCATATGAGCACAGTTTCAAATCTGCAAACTTAAGAGATGTGTCTGAACAGCAGACAAGAGATTGTCAGGGTTTCTTGGCTTTCCTGAATAGTGAGGAACTCCAGCCCCTCCATTAGGAGGTTGGGCTATTTTTCCCTTCAGGATGGGGCTGATCCATGAAATTTTTTTCTTAAGTAGAGGCAGTTTATCATTTTGCAGAGTTGCAACATGTACTATAGGATACATTACAATTAGTATTGAAAACACATTCATTTTTCCTTAAATTTCTTATTTCCATAATCTCATTCAGAGAAGGCAATGGCAACCCACTCCAGTACTCTTGCCTGGAAAATCCCATGGATGGAGGAGCCTGGTAGGCTGCAGTCCATGGGGTCACAAAGAGTTGGACGCAACTGATCGGCTTCACTTTCACTTTGCACTTTCATGCGTTGGAGAAGGAAATGACAACCCACTCCAGTGTTCTTGCCTGGAGAATCCCAGGGATGGGGGAGCCTGGTGGGCTGCCATCTCTGGGGTTGCACAGAGTCGGACATGACTGAAGCGACTTAGCAGCAGCAGCCTAATCTCATTGCATTAGTTGTATTTATCATCATTTGGTGACTTGAAGATCTGAATGAAATGTGATTATTTATTTTCTGGTCCATAATGACTCTCTCAAGAGTACAGACGCACATTGAAATTCTCAGAAAGTCAGAGGGATTAAATGGAACCTCAATTTGGGTATATATTTGATGGTATTTAATGAGAATTCACTTCTGAAGCAAATACGGGGAACAGTGTACTGCTTTTCTTACTAAATAAGTCAGCCTCAAGACTGACCTCTTACACTATGCTTCCCCTTCCACATTCAAAAGAATGTAAGTTTTTAAATCAAAATTATTTTATGTAGTTTTTATCAATTGTTTTCTATTGCCAAATGGTTATAAAAAATAGAGTAATGAATAAACAAAGGAGTAAAAAAATCTGTCATGATTGAGAAAGTAAAACAAAAAACATTGAAGACTTGTCAAGTTACTTTGCATTTAAAAAGTTAAAAGCAGCTAGCAGATGACTATGCTTCCAGAGCAACAGAGCTGATTTTGTGGGAGTGTGCATAGCATTAGGAGAAATCTTTTTTGAGGGCTAAGATAGAAGCCCCTGCCCCAACCAAGGTTCTTGGTTCAAGGATCCCCATGTGAAAAATAAGCAGAGTCTTTAACATTTGACAGGCACAGATTCCAGCAGCATTCCTGGCATATCATGATAGATACTCAGTAATAAATTTGTGAGAAAGACTGATCGTGTTACAGGAGCAAGCCTCCTGCCAGACTGTCACATATGTGATAGCTGTGGGACTGAGGCATGTGACATTCAGGCTGAGATTGGGACTCAAACTTAGCCCTAGCCTCCCAAGTACACACAAACAAATAGAGCCCATTCTTCACAATCCCTCAGTTTGGAGATAAATGGGAAATTATTTTCCCACCAGAAAATTATTAAATACTGGTGTTCATTAATCTGTGAAATCTCCTTCCCACAGGCATTTAAATCTTTGTTGTGCTTTATCTATAATGAATTAGGCATGGTGTTGCCTGAAGCCTCCTAGCAAAATAAAATTAAATTGCTAATCAAAGGAAATGTTAAATAGCTCCCCCTTACAAAGACAATTTATGTTCTCAAGGATAATTACAATCTTTCCTAAGATGGGTTGTGACTAGTAGCCTTTCAAAGCCTCATGTGTTTTCATAAAAGTGAATTGGAAGACTAAGCCTATATCTAGTATAATGCTAGGTCTACAGATACCTAATATATACAACTAGTTGATGGTTGTTAAACCAGTAGAAGCCCAGCTTAACTCTCTCTGTCAAAAATTGTATGTACTGAAATAAATGGATAGTCTAAAACTATGTTTATAAATTGATTTGTTCAGTTGCCAGAGATTCTGTTTTATTTTTATTATAACTCCTTCTTGGACATCCCCAAATTTTTCATAAAGTTGGAATAACATAAAAACATAGTTTTATGCACCAGGTATAGCTCATTAATGTTCTCTTTTTTTCACTTTAATTTTTTGTTGTTCATGTTTTAGTTCTGAGCAAGACAAAGAAGAATGGATCAAGGTAAACCTGATTTCTGTTTTCATTTTTGTTTTGTGGTAACCTCTGTATGTCTGCTCCAGTATTCTTGCCTGAGAATCGCACAGACAGAGGAGCCTGGCAGGCTGTAGTCCATCGGGTCATAGAAAGAATCAGACATGGTTTAGCAAGTAAACAACAACTGTATGCATACCCAGATGTGCATATATTGTTGTATTATGCACATATTGTAGTTATCAGAATAAGGTCATTTAATTTTTAAGGTGATTTATATCTTAGGTATTTGTTTAATAAAGTATTTATTTGTTTAATTAATTTGCATGTGATACTTTAATATATATTTGAATTTCATATGTATTTTAGGCACTTCAAGAGACTATTGATGCTTTCCATCAGAGGCATGAAACTTTCAGAAATGCAATTGCCAAGGATAATGAGATTCACTCAGAGGTTTCTGTAAGTTGAATTAATTCATTTGAGTTCTTTTCTTTCTGCAGTTGCAGAAGATCTGTCTAGTCATTTTGTTATCCACTTTTTTTCCCTTTCCAACACCAAAACTGGCTGTTTGGACAGAATCTCATTTCTTATTTAACTAAAATAGAGTGCCTTTTCATGTTGCTTAAACTTCTTTGAACCTTTGTTTTCTTTTGCATCCTGAGTTTCAGGACATGGTATGAACAATGTTGTTAAAATGTTTCTTAAAATAAATGAATGGATGGATGGAAATGACAGTTTTTGCCATTAAAATTGAATCTCTTTCCTTTTTAGACTGCTGAGCTAGGGAAAAGAGCTCCAAAATGGATCCGAGATAATGAAGTTACCATGTGTATGAAATGCAAGGAGTCTTTTAATGCCCTGACAAGAAGAAGGCATCATTGTCGAGCATGTGGACATGTACGTGAGATTTCTTGGTCATTGAGGTTGCTAATCAGTATTTAAGGGTTATAAAATCATTATCTTGGAAAATAAAAAGAAATCATTCAGTAAATCACTTAGTTGGTAAACTTATTTTGGTGATAACTTTATGCAAAAGATTGTGTTGGGTCCAGGGGGAAAACTGGTAAGCAAACTGATAGCCAGTTTCACAGAGCTTACATTTTAATGGGGAAAATAGATCAGTCAAGTAAACAGACAAGAATTTCAACTGACTATAAATGCAATAAGAAATCAAGTAGTTAAAATGGAGAATAATAGTAATGAAACAAGATTTGGAAGCAATTTTACTTAGAAAAATGAAGACCTATCTGAGGGGTTGATATTTAAGCTGATGCCTAAAACGTCAGCTAACCATAAAAAAGAACGGCAGGAAGTACATTAAGGCAGTAAGAGTTATATATCAAAAGCCCTTTGGTAGGAAAAAACTTGATCTATTCTTGAGACTATCAAAAGGTCATGCAGCTGAAGCATAATGAGCGATCTAAGAAATAGATAAATAAGAACCAAAGGAGTCAAGAGCTTTGAGAAATTAAGAGATGAAACCTATAGCTTAAGTAGAAGTTCAGGCTTTTGATAGGGAGAAGGGAACTTCTCTCCATTATAACAGAGGATGAAGGGAAAGGTGAGTGCTAATGTAGATGTGGTTTTGTTTTTTGGTGTTTTTTTTTAATGCTCTTTGATTTATTATTTATTTTTTGTGGATGTGTTTTTGATTTTCTGGTGGGAAATGAGGGGATTTAGGTCTGATAATCTCTACATTTTCACTGAAATATGAGGAAGAGTCATCATCCAAAAGTAAAAGGGGAAGGAAGAAGAGGGCAGGAGATTTGAAAAAAAGAGTTGTCTCTGGGCAAGGAAAAGAGCCTACCAAAGAAACAATGATGGCCTTCTGGCTACCTTTTAGAGGTTTATGGTTATAAATTTAAAAGGACACACTAGTCCATTTAATACAGTGATATTTCTCTAACAAGATTCAGCAGTGCAAATCAGAAAAGGCGGCTGACAGGTTTACAACAATTGAATTGTTTCATATGGAAAGAGTGAGAAGAGACAAAGCATGAACTGAAGCTGGAGAGAAGTAGCAGGTTTTGGAGGGCCTTGTAAGCCAAGTTGAAGATTAGTACTTCTAAAAACCAACACAAAGACAGAAGGGTAGGCATTGTAGTGTCATGATTGAATGTATTATTAGTATGCTTTTGTGCAACAGTTTTTATTGATAGTACTCATAGATTATTCTCAATTACTCTGCAGATTTATTCTTCCTTTTTTCCCAATATTTGACTCAAATGAAACAGTTTTATAAGCAAAACCAAATTGATACCAAATATCTCCCCCCACTCCCCCCCAGGGTAAGACTTTTTAATCTATCACTGAGTTTACTTGAAATGATATCAGATATTGACATACTATTTTAAATAAACAAAAATATGTTTGAATATTCTGTGGCCTAATTTGAAGAATAAATATTAGTTGATATGAATTTGCAGATACACACGTCTAATTATAAATCCTAGAGTAATTTCATTGTAATCATGAGAAAACAATGGATAATTTTTATCATGAATTTTATATGCTGTGAACCTACCCCCAAAGTTTTGCTAATGTTTATATTTCTCAAATATACCATTCACTAAGAAGTAGCTTGCATTTGTGTTGTAGTCATTCATTCTATAAATGTCCCTGGTATTCTATAAATGTCATTGGCATTCTATAGATATTTATTATATAAATAGGGAGCAAAATATACAAGGATGATTCCTCATAGAGCTTAGAGCCTAGTGAGGTTGACAGACATTAATCAAATAATCACACAGGTATATTATTAAAAATTGTGATCAGTAAGTGAAAAAAGTGCATGAAACTTTAGTAACACAGTGGTGAGATGGGCTATATTCTGGAAGCTGGAGGAGTCTTCCTTGAGGAAGTGAACTTTGAGTAAAATATCTGAAGAATGAGCAAGAATTAACTCACTGAAGCATAGATGAGAGAGGGAAGGAAGCATAGCACTGTAGGAACTATAAGAAGTCAGTGTCACTGAAGACAGAATAAAAGGGATAGATCATGCAAGACTTTATAGGCCATGGTTAAAAATTTGCTCATTATCCAAGAGTAAAGGGAAGATTTTAAAGGAATTTAAATAGAAGAGAAACATATCAGATTAGCATTTTATTTTATTTTTTTTTTCCATTTATTTTTATTAGTTGGAGGCTAATTACTTTACAACATTGCAGTGGTTTTTGTCATACATTGAAATGAATTAGCCATGGATTTACATGTATTCCCCATCCCGGTCCCCCCTCCCACCTCCCTCTCCACCCAATCCCTCTGGGTATTCCCAGTGCACCAGGCCCGAGCACTTGTCTCATGCATCCAACCTGGGCTGGTAATCTGTTTCACCCTAGATAATATACATGTTTCGATGCTGTTCTCTTGAAACATCCAACCCTCGCCTTCTCCCACAGAGTCCAAAAGTCTGTTCTATACATCTGAGTCTCTCTTTCTCTTTTGCATATAGGGTTATCGTTACCATCTTTCTAAATTCCATATATATGTGTTAGTATACTGTAATGGTCTTTATCTTTCTGGTTTACTTCGCTCTGTATAATGGGCTCCAGTTACATCCATCTCATTAGAACTGATTCAAATGAATTCTTTTTAATGGCTGAGTAATATTCCATGGTGTATATGTACCACAGCTTCCTCATCCATTCATCTGCTGATGGGCATCTAGGTTGCTTCCATGTCCTGGCTATTATAAACAGTGCTGCGATGAACATTGGGGTGCACGTGTCTCTTTCAGATCTGGTTTCCTCAGTGTGTATGCCCAGAAGTGGGATTGCTGGGTCATATGGCAGTTCTATTTCCAGCTTTTTAAGGAATCTCCACACTGTTTTCCATAGTGGCTGTACTAATTTGCATTCCCACCTACAGTGTAAGAGGGTTCCCTTTTCTCCACACCCTCTCCAGCATTTATTGCTTGTAGACTTTTGGATAGCAGCCATCCTGACTGGCGTGTAATGGTACCTCATTGTGGTTTTGATTTGCATTTCTCTGATAATGAGTGATGTGGGGCATCTTTTCATGTGTTTTTTTGCCATCTGTATGTCTTTCTTGGAGAAATGTCTGTTTAGCTCTTTGGCCCATTTTTTGATTGGGTCATTTATTTTTCTGGAGTTGAGCTAGAGGAGTTGCTTGTATATTTTTGAGATTAATCCTTTGTCTGTTGCTTCGTTTGCTATTATTTTCTCCCAATCTGAGGGCTGTCTTTTCACCTTGCTTATAGTTTCCTTTGTTGTGCAAAAGCTTTTAAGTTTCATTAGGTCCCATTTGTTTATTTTTGCTTTTGTTTCTAAAACTCTGGGATGTGGGTCATAGAGGATCCTGCTGTGATTTATGTCGGCGAGTGTTTTGCCTATGTTCTCCTCTAGGAGTTTTATAGTTTCTGGTCTTACATTTAGATCTTTAATCCATTTTGAGTTTATTTTTGTGTATGGTGTTAGAAAGTGTTCTAGTTTCATTCTTTTACAGGTGGTTGACCAGTTTTCCCAGCACCACTTGTTAAAGAGGTTGTCTTTTTTCCATTGTATATCCTTGCCTCCTTTGTCGAAGAGAAGGTGACCATAGGTTTGTGGATTTATCTCTGGGCTTTCTATTCTGTTCCATTGATCTATATTTCTGTCTTTGTGCCAATACCATAGTGTCTTGATGACTGTGGCTTTGTAGTATAGTCTGAAGTCAGGCAGGTTGATTCCTCCAGTTCCATTCTTCTTTCTCAAGGTTACTTTGGCTATTTGAGGTTTTATGTATTTCCATACAAATTGTGAACTTATTTGTTCTAATTCTGTGAAAAATACCGTTGGTAGTTTGATAGGGATTGCATTGAATCTGTAGATTGCTTTGGGTAGTATAGCCATTTTGACAATATTGATTCTTCCAATCCATGAACACGGTATGTTTCTCCATCTGTTTGTGTCCTCTTTGATTTCTTTCATCAGTGTTTTATAGTTTTCTATGTATAGGTCTTTTGTTTCTTTAGGTAGATATACTCGTAAGTATTTTATTCTTTTTGTTGCAATGGTGAATGGTATCGTTTCCTTAATTTCTCTTTCTGTTTTCTCATTGTTAGTGTATAGGAATGCAAGGGATTTCTGTGTGTTAATTTTATATCCTGCAACTTTACTGTATTCATTGATTAGCTCTAGTAATTTTCTGGTAGAGTCTTTAGGGTTTTCTATGTAGAGGATCATGTCATCTGCAAACAGAGAGAGTTTCACTTCTTCTTTTCCTACCTGGATTCCTTTTACTTCTTTTTCTGCCCTGATTGCTGTGGCCAACACTTCTAAAACTATGTTGAATAGTAGTGGTGAGAGTGGGCACCCTTGTCTTGTTCCTGATTTCAGGGGAAATGTTTTCAATTTTTCACCACTGAGGGTGATGCTTGCTGTGGGTTTGTCATATGTAGCTTTTATTATGTTGAGGTATGTTCCTTCTATTCCTGCTTTCTGGAGAGTTATTATCATAAATGGATGTTGAATTTTGTCAAAGGCTTTTTCTGCATCTATTGAGATAATCATATGGTTTTTATCTTTCAATTTGTTAATGTGGTGTATTACATTGATTGATTTGTGGATATTAAAGAATCCTTGCATTCCTGGGATAAAGCCCACTTGGTCATGGTGTATCATCTTTTTAATATGTTGTTGGATTCTGTTTGCTAGAATTTTGTTAAGGATTTTTGCATCTATGTTCATCAGTGATATTGGCCTGTAGTTTTCTTTTTTTGTGGCATCTTTGTCTGGTTTTGGAATTAGGGTGATGGTGGCCTCATAGAATGAGTTTGGAAGTTTACCTTCTTCTGCAATTTTCTGGAAGCGTTTGAGTAAGATAGGTGTTAGCTCTTCTCTTAATTTTGGGTAGAATTCAGCTGTGAAGCCATCTGGTCCTGGGCTTTTGTTTGC